TTGCGGAAAATCTAGCCATGGAATACATTGCGCTAGCCTTTACATATATATTATATATGCATTTGGGTTTAGCATTTCAACATTTGTTTTCATCGGTGCAATTTTTGGGATCAAATAACCAAAAGATGTGGAGGATAACGTCTTATATACGTCTGGGCAAGATGCAATGTTTGGATTTTCTAAAATATTTTAATATCGATTAGTTATATAGTTATACAGCCCGATTTTTTGTCTGCTTTTCTTTTCGTCTCGCAAAAAAGTCCATCCTTAACGTTGTGTGTAGTGAAAATGTACGGTGGTTTTATATTGCTAAAGAAAACGCTTCTGAATAGACGTATATAGTTGTCCTAAGCTATACGCTATATACTAAGGAGTTAGAATTGCAAACAGAGTAAATGGCGCTCAAATCATTTCCAACATTATTAAAATTTAATCTGCTCCAATTCCAACGGTGAAGGAAGATAAAAGACAATTTTTAAGAATTTTTTATTTGTAATAAGTGGAAAAGTATCTATATATAAGAGCTTTAACATCAATTGGTTCATGCAATTAATTGTAATAGTGAAAATTAATAATTAATTGTAATAGTATTAATTGTAATAGTGCGCAGCTGAGTTGCACGTGTGTGGGTTAAATTTACGATACTCGTAATTTATAATTGAATGCAGGCCTTGAATGCAATTTAATAGAGGTATTTCAAATTAATTACGTGCTTACAAATGTATTATTTCTTTTTACTTCCAATAGGCATTGTATTTAATAACCTTTAACTGAATAATCTGATGAACGCTTGTTCATTAAATGCATTATTTCTCATTTCATTAATGCAACTCTTAATCAATCATGTGGTGACGTTGAAATTACCTAAATTAAATTTAATTACTTTCCTGCCATTTTTTAAAAGAGCATAAATTTGGAAATTGGTTCAAAAAAATTTTAATTCCTGAATTACGAATTTTAAAGATTTATTTATTAATTTTATTTTTTGAATACGCAAACATTGTGATTTAAGAAAAGTCTTGTAATCATTCCCGATTTCAATTTATTAAATTCTTAACGCGAATTCTTGATATAACAGCTGTGGATTCACGCACTCCCTTGGTCAGTGCAAACACCCGCGTGAACACTGCAGACGGAAGCCCAGAAGAGACAGAAATGGCAACTGCAAACATAATTGCCAACCCCGAAGATAGTAAAATGATCACCGCAAACACAATCGTGAACACGGGAAGCACTTTAGCCACTGACAACAGTTGCGGGACTAGTGAAGATAGTGAAGTTGCCGGAAAAAGCGCATTTGTGAAGCTACCACCAATACAAGATATAGGGCAGTATATCACAAGCCACAGTTCCAGCCCAAAACGGACCGCCGTTGTAAGCCCGTGGGTGGCAGTCGAGACCGGTACGGATGCGCAAAGTGGCGTTGAAATTCTACGCGAAAACCTAAATGGTTGTAGCAATAATCAAATCATGGTTCATAATTCCCAAGGAATTAGTTTTCAAATAAAGTCTAATGGTACTACAGAAACGGAAGGTAATTTTGAACGGCTGTGTGATAAAGTTGAGTTGCATCCGTTAATAGTGTGATATTGTAATGATTCATATATCTAAAATAAATTAGAAAACACATTTTAAGGCAGCACATATCATGTACTTTTCAAATCAGTTATTTGTATTGAATTAAAATAGATCTTTTTCTGTTTATCGACATATTATATCATTATAACATATCCATATCCTCGTTACATCATTTTGTCTATATTATTGCTAACTCTAATACTAATGCTTGCAATTTTTTAACATTTATGCACGTCATTTCTTACAAGCATTTGATTTATTCGTTCTTGCATGGTGCTTTTAACAACTTCTTTTAAGTATTGCTTTTAATTTTCCTGTGTCTCCATTAACCCCACCTTTTTCCGTGAACTAATACTGAGCTTATCCTTTTTCTGCCGTTTAGAACCGAATGAGCCTTGCTTGACTAACGTCATCCGACCAACTCCACAACACAAGATGCCGATAAATACTAATGATAGTTCGTCAGCTTCTCATCAAGGAATGCTGAATGCTGTATCTACTTTAAGCTCAGCAAATTCACAATTTCCGAAGTTAAAGTATCTAGATACTCAGGCTAGCGTGGCTCACGACTCGCAGTCTATACCATCCTCCCCCTGCCAAGCGTTGCCTGACTCACTCAAGCTCCTCGTCGACGAACTGGACCTGGCTGAATATTGCTCAGTCAGCCCTTCTACACACATGGTTCCTAGTGACATTCCAAGTACGAGTAGCACTGAGTGCCAGACCAGCAGTGCATTTACTGCCACCGTCGCACCTACTCATACTGAAACATATGTGCAGAACCCAGGTCAGTTGGCAGCATCGGAACAGACGATCACTACTTTGCTTCAACCGACTATTCCATCGAATCTTGCTAGTCGACTGTCAACGGAAAAGCTGAACGGCTATAGTCCATTGACACCAATACAAATTCAGAATAGTTTGACGCAGCAAAACTCGAATCCTGCAAATGAAACGGCGAATTCCTCAAGAATTTCATTGCAATGGTATGCAGATTGTTTCGATTACCTTTTCATGGACTATATCCCCAACGGGGAAACCATCATCGATCATGAGGCACATGCAAACACCAGAGACTGTGTGTATGGTACTAATGGATCTCAACTTCTCGAGGCTAATTCTGGTCAAATCACCAATAAACGGGCGAGGATCCATAATCCGCATCAAGCTCCAAAGCGTAAGAGCCATAAATTAAATGAAGAACTGAAGGAGAACATCGAGCCAGCTCAGGATTGGCAAGGTAAGGACAAAGTTCGGTAAGTTAAATTAGCTGGGGCTGTATTTCGACGGGCTGTTCGAGGTTGAGCGGGATTTTTGTGGTCATTTGTATCACATGTAGAAGTACAAGATGCGCAATTTAAAATTAGTTCTGAGATGCATTCATGGTAATAACTCGGTAACTGATGCGACGCAAGAAATGGTTCCCGCTCGTGAAAGTTTATGTCCAGAACTACTTTGATATGTTTGTTATTGCTCGTCGTTCTGAGAAAACTATGAATTACGTATATTCATTGCCACTGGAGCGAATCTCACGTGTAAAATAATTTTGAAGTTATTGCTGTCGCATCGTTGTGTTCGTATCAAAAGCGGACAATTAGGAAAAGCAATATAACAAGCTGAGAATCACGCTGATTTCTTTACAATTATACTCGAGACCACGTTTCACTTAGGAATTTAGTCAATCTTTCAAAAGGAATTTGTATCGCATTACTTGTGGCAGGAAGAGGCTTTTTGGAATTTGCAGTTTGTGGCGGGTAGGCGGACAGTCGAGCCGGATCAACGGAAGACACAGAAGTGCTCGTGCTCGAAAGCCTTGCACACAATCGGCTGGGAGCTCGAGCAGCATTCCACGCTCCGATAAAATCGAAAAGTTCTTGACAAAAACTACGAATCGGCTGATCTCAAAGACTCATTGAGAGCGCCATTGGAAGTTCGGCCGCCCTCTTTGTGTTGGCCATCGGGAGCAGGGTTGCGCCTGTGGTCTCAGTGAGCAGCTCTTCCTGCTTCGAGCTCTTTGTGGGAAACGAAATAAGATTTTGCGTTTACGTCGTTGCTTACTTGTCTTATGGTATCCGTGACACGGCAATGCTAGCGCTATAATCCAAGTAACTGCTTAGTATTCTTTCGTTTAGTTGCTGGATTTTGGAAATTTTCGGTCGCATTTCCTGGGCTTGGCTACTGAAAGACTCGAGTTGTTGTGATCTCTCTGGGCTTTTGTTTCCGCTGCAGGTCTGATCCGATTTTCGAAAGCGTCGTTGTCGCTGCAAACTTCTTTTGTCGCGTGATCTGCTCTCGAATCATTCCGGGGAATCGATTTCTTTGCTGTTAAGTTTTCCTCTTCCTCGACCGTCTGAACATCGCGCACGCGTTTACATTAACATTTCGAAGTAAGAGTTCTTGAATTGAAGGATCTTTCTTATTTTCGTACTGGTTGCCCATCTGCGAGAGACTGAATAGCGCTGAGGCTCTAGAGGAGAACTCTCCTAAATAAATTTAAGTCGGAATTGTACATGACTCAGCCATTAGCTGCTTCCGATTCTCTATTAAGTCCCAAGATTAGTTAGAAATATTTTAGAAATAAGACAGGAACCAGTAATTAATTCACTGTCCAACAGATACATTTTAGATATTTGTGAATGCTTGTGTTTGTCGATTGCTTGCAACCGTTCACTGCCTGCCTTTCTGTCAATGCACTTTACTCTTTTAAATGCTGCACGTTTGTTTGCGTTTCATTCTAAGCTAACGCTATCTTAACCTTGGTTTCACTATAATAATGTTAATTTTGGCTGTTTGCTTGATATGCGTTAAGATGCATAGCTTAAAAGTCATTCAAACTGAGGACATAGCACACGTCCGTTTACGAGGTGAGCTGTACGTATATTATAGGGCCGCTCCAGCACGTTGCTGAGGTGTAGTTTACAAGTTCAATTAGTTTATTTCTAATGTAAAGTAAAAACGATGTATGTATTTTTAACTATTTATTATCGGAAAGTATTCTTTGTGCGTGGAAATGACGTATTAACTCCCGGATCAGGCTCGATAATCTTATAAAGAAAACAGAGCGCTACTTCTTAACTCAAATTGTTTACCTGGTCAGTTTCAACTCACAACATTGGTTAGAATGCTACTTAAAGTGCGATCTTGAATATCAATTTCAAGTACTTACATTCAGAAGTAAAACCAATTCCAGCAAAATTTAAAAATCATGAGACAATTCAAATGTATTGAAAAATAAAGAACATTTGAATTAATAATAGGCTTTTAAATTTATAACTAATTATAAATTAAAATATATATGGAAATAGCCAAATATATTATATATATGGGAAATTTATAACTAATACAAAATATATATGGACATTTATAACTAATAAATATTGAGCTATTCGCATTATTGATCCCCTCCTCCCCCCTCCCCCCAGGCCGCTTCAGCCACCCCGGGGGCAGCCTGTACAGAGCTGGGGGCCACATGCCCTTCCCTGCCTGGCTCAACCAGGGTGCGTACCATCATCACTACCATCATCACTACCATCATCACTACCATCATCACTACCATCATCACTACCATCATCACTACCATCATCACTACCATCATCACTACCA